TGATTCCGGTTGTACGCAAAAGCGGCTGCAGTGATCGCCTTCGGTTGACTCAATATTCACCGAGAAATTAGCGTCGGTAGTATTGAGAACGGTGTTGGATCCATTGAAGCAGTCAGGGGCAGTGAATCCGTGGAAATTGGCGTTGATGCTGCGGATATTCGAAATTGCATGCGGAGGATGTGCCCGCACGAACAAGTTATCATGTTGCTCTTGCGTGGATGATACCTTACTGCTATTGCCCGCTATTCCTGTGACTTGGGCAGCAGCGAGAAGGTGTATTACTCCAGGTGCCACTCCCGCAGCAGTTGCCTCGCTCGTTTGACTGTCTCTTAACGTTGCGGTAGAGCTAGGGGCCGGTTGTCGGGAGATGCAGCTAGTGGAAGTACGAGGATGCATTGAACCACGGCTCATGGGTCGCAGAGCATTCTCGTCAGGCCAAAGTAACAGTTGTTGGAAATTCAAAAGCGCATCTGCCACGCGCTCGGTATTTTTTTCGGCCAACAACGTCAGGATGCCGATGGAACGGAGGTGTTTTATCGCATTGTGGAGGTCCTCGCTTCGTAAGCCGTCCTCTTCATCCCAGCTAGAACAATCAGCATGCAATTCAGACTCAACGTTGTAAGAACCTACATAGAATCGGGTAAAACATCCAGGAAGAATACCCCTAAGGCGCTTTTTTGTCGCAGATATGCGGCCTCATCGGCATCTTCGCCGACGCTTTCTTTTTCTGCGGTGCCTGCAAGCAGGTCACTGAATGTCATACGGCGCTGCCCAGCCTTTACTATAGACCAAACCATGGCAGTTGTTTCCTCAGTGACCTCGCATCCCATGAATGTCAAGAACTCGTTGATTTGCACATTTGTGATGTAGCGTGGGGACGACAGCCTTGACCGCCGGAATGCTAAGTACGCAGCGACAGTTGTGAACCTCCACAGGACCTTGTAGATGGCAATTTTCTTGTAGTTCTCGATCGCATCTTCGATAAAACGTCGGCCGTATCTGTTTGGTGCACCGGCAGAGCCTTCTTCTAGGGCTGGTTGACCACGGGTTGGCCACCAAAAGCTTCTTGGGTCTTGACACCACCGGTCGAACTGGCTCAAAATTGGCGCTGCAATTCCGATCTGCGGGCCTCTGATATTTTGGATTGCTTCGCTATTTATGGCATTCCGTTTTCGTCCACGTCTGAAGTCGCTAGAGAGAAAGTCGTACCATCGTCGAAGTATTACGCGATTGGTTTCGTCTTTGAGTACCACGTCAGCTCTTTCGCTGCCATCATATGGCTCTAGCAGATACCGAAGCTCGTGAATGGTCGGAACTTCTGTTTTACGGCGTTTCATGTGTTGAGAAAGGCTTTTGCCTGCCTTGCGTTTTCCCATAGTTATCAAAATAACGGTGTGAAGGAGGATGGAACAGACGGGATTCGTGACACTGGGGCGAAGGTACTACCCCTTTCAAGTCGATATTTGTAGCCAGTAGAGGCGGCCCACTTTAGCCGATGGCACTAGTCCAAGCTAATGAAATTTTCAGGTGCGCGTACTGGAAATATCTCCCTTTTCTGACTAGCGGCGGATATCTCGTTCACAAAATGGGCATCTGTCGTCCTCGTTTGTGTGCAAATTGCTGTCAGCGATCATATAATCGTTGTGCAAGCTATCATTCTCCCTCTTGGGCCTATCAGGCCTTAATTTTCTAGTGTGCAAACATCGCCTGAACACAGACATCGTGCTAAGCCGGGAGCGGGAGAACAGCTAACCTTTTTCAGGTGATATTTCATGGCTCCTATGATTTGAAAGGAGGAGCTCAGAACAGCCAGGGAAGACAGGCTGTCTGTAATTGTGGCGTAGTTTACACTGGTTATTAGGACCCTGTTTCTCCGTGTCGGGACTGTTGTTGCAGGCCGCGTATATGTAGGGATTGGCTGTCGCTGATTTTCTTCACCGCTGTTTACTGGTAACAACGGATATTCATTCCGACCACACTGCAAATCAAGATGCAGCGCGATGTGTCTGGGGAGCAGGTCGTTGAAGTGGCTGTAATCTGTGCCGCTGGCACCGCTTTCTACCTGACCAACCTGTTGGTGGCATTGCGTGGCCATTGCCTCATCAGCCCGACATCACTGCACCATCAACGTACCGGTTTCAAGCTAACCAATGCCTAACAGCCGCTCATCCAACCAGGTATCTCCCTGCCAGACACAGTGGTCATCAGAAGGTCACATTCCCTCAAATGGAATGGCGAACGGCTTACGAGTTGTGCCTTGCATTGAGGCAAGAGTCAATGCCGCAAACCCAACTCTTCCAAACCGGTTTGGCGCATCACTGCTGTCTAACGCGCCATGGAAGCCCTGACACACAGCCGGTGTCAAGGTATGAGTCACGTTGCTGTGAGCAGTGCTTTCTAGAGCGTGACAAGTTGCTCGATTCCACAGTGTTCCTGGTACTCACCGTTGCTGTCGAATTAACGCACGTTGTTAGACGCCCTGACTATTCGGAGTGCTCCCAACACGCGTATTCTTGGTACAGAACGATTTGCGCTGATCGGAGGCCGGGAACAATTACATGTAAGCTTGATTATTCTCGTCAGGTTGAGGCTGAGTCAATTGGCTTGTTTAACAAGTGCGGTTTGCCCTGCAACGGCGGCTCGTCAGCCAACCACTAGGCGCTCGTGGCGTTCTCCTGCAGGTGCGTGAAGGTCGGGGCCGCCTGCCATGACATCCTGCTAAAGCATGCTGGATGGAATCAGCAGGAAGCACTTGGAAGACAGGCAATGCCTAATTAGGACTGTAAATGTGATAGCGCTCAGCTATAAGAACCCTGTCTTGACCAATTCAAGATGCTTGTACGATAGTCCTATCTTCACCAACTTTACAACACAGGTCATTACTAAGAAGGTTCGTTGTTTGACCCACCCATGATGTTGCCGTCGATTCAAGTCTTCAGTTTAGCTACCTAGACTGACGTGATACCAGAATCAACGAACAATGTCAACTGAAGTTTGCCCTGAATGTAGCCAAGGCAAATTCAACCCCATACGAAGGGCTCCCTGCGGCGCATGCCAAGCAGGCCTCGACAGCTACTACATTTCCCCTACCGCAAAAGAGTGCAAAGATGCAAATTGCCACTACGGTCAGAAAAAGAGCGATCCGGGGAAGAGATGTGATGCGTGTAAGGGCACGAGCAGAAAGCTCACTCGTTGCACCGGCAGATTTTGCGTCAATGGATATGTGGAGTTGAGGTGCAAAGATGCGTTTCACTCTACCTTCTAGTCTCCTGGCTTAGAGCTCGGGCAATCCGATATTTAGCTTTTTTCCTCAAATTTTATGACTTTGCCCTTGTCTAGCACCCCCGTTTGGCATAGCCGTCGTCCATGCAGGCGATTACTCATGAATTAGGCACGTGACATTTAAGCTTCTCATAAATTATATAAGTAGGCTAATATAGACATTAGATAACTAGTTATAACTAAAAGTAATTTTATATAGTAAAGTTAAAGAATAATATATATTAAAACTTATAGCTATTTTTACCTTATTCTTTTTTAACTAAGAAAGGAAATTCCTTCTTTCTTATACCTATTTTCTAG